AAGGTTTCCCCATATTTTTTTTTCAGTGTTTCTGTTGTTTTTAATTTGTTTTTTTTTTTTTTTTTTACTTTTCATTAGTCTTTAATACAGTTTGTACTTTAATTTATATTTTTTATAATTAATAAATAAATATATATATGTTTCATAACTTGTGTACAATTAAACAATCATTAGGATATTCTTTTGTTACTATGCCTTTTTTCCTTTTATTATTACAGTAATTACAGTGTACATACATCATATTGGGAATTTAACATTTTACGTATTTGGTTTAAATTTTTTTAATGTTTTATTAACTTCCTACTGATTTCTTTAGTACTTGAACAATGTACAACGCTTGATTATACAATAAAATGTAACAAAACAATTTAGAAACATTCATGAGGTATACTGCTTATTAGTTTATTATTACTAAATCTTTCTTTTCTAAACATTTCTTCATATGAGTGAGTTTAAAACAAAGGTAATGGTAGGAGGATGCATAAGGGTAACCTTTGTGCATAAGGGTAACCTTTGATATGAGCAGTTCTTAAATGTGGACAGAAATTACTCGTGCGTAATTTGTTAAAACACCTTTGGGTTTAACAGTTGCTGCGAAAATGAATTAAGTTTTAATCATAATTTGTTTTGATCTTTTAAATTTCAGATGTTAACTTGTTGCACAATTAGAGGGAAAACTATACAACAGTTTCAATATTACTTTTGTTTCAAGGTAACTCTGCACATGTTGCACACACTTAGTTTTGTAAATTCAAATTTTTGTGTATATATATATATATATATATATTATATATGCGTGCAAATGTGAAATGGGTAAATCAAAACATTAAGATAATTGTTGCTGATGTACTACTAGCTACTGACAAGCTTATAATAGTTTTAATAGTAAAGAAGGTATTAGCGTAAGGTATTAGGTTTTACGCTAAAATCTTCTTTACCATCAAAACTTGTGTACTTGAGAATGATCGCACCAGTGATTGAAACGTTGTACCTGTTCAAAAAAACAAATCTTACTTACTGTAAAAGTGTAACTTGTAATAAAATAATACTTATAATCAGTTAGTAAACTCAAAATGAAACTACAGAACACAATGTTCGAGGAAATGAAAGTTCACATATTTGTAATATCTGTCGTCCCTTGGTAGGTCAGCAGTAACTTTGAGGGCTTAAAACAATAGAATCCAGTGTTCAATCCTTGAGATGGACACAATTCAGATAGGTCATTATGCATCTTTGTGCTAAAACAAATCCTATAATTGTGACCATTAAACTGTGGTTAAATTCATAGCATTAGTTGCATGATACAGCTTTATTGGGAAATAAAGTTAACAGTCTGGAATGATTACTTTGAGGTTATTCAGTTTGAAAACAGATGCTTGGTAACATCAGATCTTGTGATATAATTATAATCTTTAGTGTTCTTGGTTTAAAAATGTATCAAACATTTTGTTATGTACACATTTTAAATATGTTTAACTGTTTTATTATTAGAGGTTTTTTTTTAAAGAGATTATTATACTTTAGTCATTGTAAATAGGGTCTCAGGAAAAAAGTTGTGTAAGTCCAGAAAAGTTGCCAGTTTGTGATATTTATTACTTTTTTCAAAATATATTTATTAATAACAAATTGTCCTTTTGACAGTTTGTTAAAAATACACGTGAAATTCTTTTCCTTTATCTCTCCTACATCTTTTTTCTTATCATAGATGATGTTAGGAAAAAGTAGGTTTAAAAAAATCATTTAAGACAAAAATACGAAACCCTATAATTCAAGGACTATTGAAATGTGGACCTTACTCCATCAGGGGCAAACTGGTAATGGTGATATTGATATAATTCATTTATATATATATATATATATATATTGTGTGTGTGTGTGTGTGTGCGCGCTTTATAAACAGTACCTTTAGCACCTGTTTAAGTTTTTCTTTTTTTTTTATTTGAGTTGCATTTTCTAAATTATGGAAAAACATGCACTTCCAAATTAAACTGATCAATCTTCTCTCCAGTGATAATAATTATTGAAATAATTCTTATGAAATAATATTGTGTTTCTTAGAGTACTGTCTGACCCAGAGTGATCCTCTAGAGGTGTTAACTTTCAGCACAAACAATGTGTTAAAATATTTTAACTTGCATAGAAGAATGATTTCAAACAGGAAAAAACAAGAAAATTTTTCTATGTAATCATACATTTTACAAAGCTTGCAATATACTCCATTCAATAATATTGACTTGAAATGTGACACAATGCCCATAAGTATCCAATCCAAAACTGAAGAAATACACACGTTTTTAAATTAAGAATATGATGCTCTACTCCATAAACAACTAAGTTAAAATACTTGAATACTTGCCAAAGATTCTAGGATTTTGGAAAGCACAATGCTGCATAATAAGTTATCCGTGCTCTGCCTACTGCTGGTATCAAAACTAAAATTCAAGCATTATAAACCTACAGACTTACTGAGGGGGCTTTAGAAACTTAATGTAAGACATTATTTGTAATAATTCACTTTTGACTCTAGAGTGTTACTAAAATATCTTATTTCACATTATTTGCTTGAAATACGAAACAAGTCACATAAATATATGAATATAAAGTTAGGTAATTCTATGATAATGTGAACAATTATGGTGATGCATTCCTTCTTGTCTTAATAAAAAAAATGTCCAATTGTATTACGCCCTGTATTTGTAAGTTTTCAAACAGTACATATTTTTCCATCAAGTATTTTCTAACAATCACGTATATAATAGCCAAAAAAAAATCATAATGTTAAACGTTGTTTACAAAACTGTAAAATACCAATTATCTTTTATTTTATAAAACACTTCTGTACCACAATTCTTTAATGAACTGTGTTTAAATAATATATCTTTCAAGTTGTACCAAAATAACTGAATATCCGAAACTTTAGGAAAGATTGGTTTTGATTTTCATCACCAATTTAAGAAACTACAAGGAAAATGACTAGCCTTTAGACCTAAAAATCAGGTGTAGCAAACACAATAATATTAACAGGATATGAACTGTTCAAAAGAAATAAATCTATAGCTACATTAATTACAACACCAAAAATATTCTACTGTTGCCAATTTTGAATTACCTTTAAAAAAACTTTTACATGATTAAATATTTAAGGTAAACTTTAAGATTTTGTATTTTACTTTTTTTTTAATTAATTTTTATAAGTTAATAGTGAAGTTAAATGATAAGCACATCTGGATACCTCAAAAACTCTTGGCAAATTCTGAAGGACCATATAATGTTAGAGAGAGTTATGTATTATGGAAACATGCAGTAATTAATCTTGTTAGTTTGATTACAAAAACGTGTTTTAAATCAAGTGTTAACTTCAAAATTTATAAATTCAACTATACACGTAAAATCAAACTGTTAGCATTATCTTCAATTATTAATCCCTTCAACACCACCACAACTAGGAACAACTGATAACTGAAAGTTGAAACAGTATACTACACTATGTTACTCCTTGTTTGGCTTATATTTACACTGATTAGTAGCTTTCAAGACACTGTCTCAGAGTTCACTAATTATGTTTACGAACATCTCCTTTCAATTATTTTACACATTAACTGTCTGATAGATTTACTCAGAGGACAGCATTAGATGGGAAAGGGTTGGAAAGAGATTGTCATTTCTTTTCATCTTAGCATACAGAAAATACGTTAGTCTTAATACAACAAAATCCTAAGTTTAGATTAACTATTTCTTCAAACAATGAAATCATATCTGACCCGATAGGTACAGAATATAATGTGACAGACACCTGAATCAGGTTTTCGTATACCACAAGCAGCTGATGTGATCAAGTATTTATAAATCTGAGATTACTTTACATTCCTTTGAATGAATCCCAAAACAACGTGCTACAGAATTGACGCTGATATTTGATTAGATGGAGGGGATGCTATTATCAACAAAGGATTTTCCAGATTTTGTCTGAGTAGCTGGAGAAATCTGGCGGCAACTTCATCATCTACAGCTCGTCCATCATACGACAAAGAGACGGTGATCGTGGCTTCGGGTTGTCCGTCCTCACCAAGACCAAGCTGTGTTGATCCGATTCCCAAGATTGCTGCTTGGTGGGTGTTAACTATGTCAATTAGTTCTCTCACGCCCTCTACGTCTACACTGGAGATGCTGCACCAAGAATTAATATTAGCTTACAATTAGGGCTAGCTATGAGTGAAAGTAAAAATCAATCTATCCATCAACATAGATAATTAAATATACTTTTCTTATGTATCTACTTATAAAGATTGGAATGTTAAATGATGTTTTCAGTTGTATAAACCCAGTAATATATTACAAGGTTTGGCAGGCTTAGAAGATTTAGGTTAGTTCTAAATATGAATTATAAACTGACGATGCAAATCAATCTTTAAAATGAAAGTACGGCGCTGAATAACGAATTAAAAGTAAAATTGAACACTGAAAAATTAGCACGTAAAACACATAAGTTACATCTTTAAGCCTAATTATCTATAGAAACTACAAAGGAAGAATCAAATTTAGTCCAATTTAAGCTTTTGACAACCAGTTAGGTCTGTGTGGATCTTACTTGATAATAATAAAGTGCATTTTGAAAATTATTCAACTGAAATAACTATTCGACATTTGTTCACCCCCAGGTGGTGTTTTTATCAAGGTATTTGTCATACAGTAAAATAAGCTTCTTGATATGAAATGCGTTACTTCCTGTTAAAAACATCAAATGTAAATATGTTTCTATTATTTTTTAAAGTTTTCAGTACCGACTGAAAGATGGAAACCATTTTCAATGAAGACAAACAACTTCAAATAAATGTTTTTTATTCTACCCAAATGTTTTATAATCTGTGATGTTCATAGACCCTTGATAAAGGCATAAGCTGATATTTTGGGTAGATTAAAGAAACATTTATCTGAAGTTGTTTGTTGTCTTCATTGAAAATGTGTATAAATCACGGACATTTTGATATTGATTTACTGAAAACACCCAGGAATACTGATACAGGTTTTGTTTTTACTCCCACTGTTTTTACTACTGCATGCTTCATTAGTTCCTGCTAGTTCTAACACTTTTAGTTTTCACTTTTGTCTATTTTATCTTTGGCTAAACAGAGTTGACATAACTTTGGCCAAACATTTGCACCACCAATAACTCAGGCTTTATTACAAAAAGAGAGTCAACGTACAGCTCAGAGAAACACCGAATAAACTTTTTGTTTAGTAAAGCCTGAGTTATTGTCCAGTATCATTTTATATCCGAGCTATCTTTGACATCAGAATTCATATGTTTTATGAAATCAGTGAGCAATATACTTATGATAACTAAACAAAATTCTATATGTAATAACAACATTTTTTTATGGCCAAACCAGATGTGTTTCTAATATATGTGTGTTTGTGATATTACATCACAATATAATTGTTAATATTTTAACTCCCTTCATCACTTACTAGCCCTAAATAAGCTTCCAGTGAGAATAATGTAGAAAATAGTTTTAGTTATATACTGTGTTGATCGTATGATACTACTAATGAGGTTTTCCAATCAATAACAGAACTCTTCAGGCCACCTGGGGTACACAGTGCAGTCTCACTTGGAACTATTTATATCTGTCATGGTTCTCTTCAAATTGAAAAGGAATTTGTAAAACTACCTGATGATTATATTTATGCGTACATCAAGAAACAAAAGTATTCAATAAATTGCCAACATAAAAAAGGACAGTTTAATTATTAACAACTTTTTATGGAATCTGTAGTGATTCAGTGATTACGGAGCTCTCCTCTAACCAGCTCCCTCGTACAAAAAAGTTAAAAAAAAAATAATTATTTTTATCATTAATTTTTCCTACATCTACACAATTTAACAAAATTAGTAGCATTCTATAAAACTTTTTTATTTTGTGAAATTTAACAATTTGTTTTTTTTTACTCTGATCAACATTTCTTTGAATTTGGAGTGGTGGTATATTCTCAAGCATCACATGATATAAAATTACATTTAAAAATCACCTTTTTTTTTTATCTGAAACAAACTCACCTGAATGACCCATCAGTAGTGTCATGTGGCTCAAGTGTCCCTTTACGAGCTTTATCCGACAGTTCCTGAAAAAGAAAATATATTTTTAGCTATCCATGATTGCAACCCATAAATAACAGTTTAAACTTGTGTTTTGAACTGATTAATTTTTAATCTTTCTTATTTAACATTCAAAAGGTGTACATGTTTGGATGATAGAAGAGAGATCACACTCGTAAGTGGCATGCCTTTTAATCTTTCTTATTTAACATTCAAAAGGTGTACATGTTTGGATGATAGAAGAGAGATCACACTTGTGAGTGAGAGAATGGCCAGGAAACAAAAATTTACAATGTATTTATGGAATTTATATTACAGAAAAATGGATTGTACATTGGTTAAAATAACTAATTAAAGACGCCTGCATTTTGAAAAATGATAACAAGTTGATTTATTTTAGCCTAATGAAAGCAAACTACAGAAATGTCAGTTCAGAAATGTCTTCATCTAATAACAGAAACAATCACTATTAAGAGAGTATATAACACAACAAGATAGCAATTCAATAAGTATCTACAACAGAACAGTTGTCACTTTCTAGTTTGTCTTTGAGAACAGTGGTCACTATCTAGTTCTACAAAACAGTGGTTACTGTCCAGTTTCATCTACAGCTTTGTTGTCGCCATTCAGTTTATCCTTGAGAATAATGGTCACTGTACAGTTTGTCCTTGAGAATAGTGGTCACTGTACAGTTTGTCCTTGAGAATAGTGGTCACTGTACAGTTTGTCTTTGAGAACAGTTGTCACTGTCTAGTTCTACAAAACAGTGGTCACTGTACAGTTTCATCTACAGCTTTGTTGCCACCATTCAGTTTATCCTTGAGAATAGTGGTCACTGTACAGTTTGTCTTTGAGAATAGTGGTCACTGTACAGTTTGTCTTTGAGAACATTGGTCACTGTCCAGTTTCATCTACAGCTTTGTCACCATCCAGTCTGTCCTACAAAATAATGGTCACTTTGTAGATATTCTAAAGAATAGTGATCACTGTCCAGTTTGTCTTTGAGAACACTGGTCACTGTCTAGTTCTACAAGACAGTGGTTAATGTCCAGTCTATTCTACAAAATAGCAGTTTCTCTCCAGTTTGTTCTAAAAGTTACCAAGACGTGATATATTTAAATTATCTATATATTTGAATCATAGCACTATTTTTTGAATATAAATTCTATGATAAACTTCAAGTTTGTATCAATTATTTGTGATACGTTTTTTATGATTTATGAGTAAGTTATCAAGCTAACTATACCTTTCATAAATATAAGTTTCATTATTCAAAGTATTTCCAAATCTGTACTGAATCAATACATCATAAACAATCATTCTGGAAATGGAACAGTACTTCAGGTGTTTTCAGATGTTTAATTTACAGAAAGTTGTTTGCACATAAGTTTTGAATAGTTTAGTTTTCCATTTAACTACGTCTTTTTTATAAACTATAGATAGAGAATTTTTAAATCTAACTTGCGATAAAAGGCATCTTTTTTTTACATGTTTTGACCAACATTTGAAGATTAATTTAATGGGCTATTTTATTTGAGGCTGAAACACTTATTTCAATTGTAGATCAGTACAAGATATGATGAACACATTAAGAAAATGTTTTTGGTGTCTTTGATCATGGAGATATCACTTTCGAAAAGTGGGACCTCTAACGAGGTAGTCTTCACTTTTTCAGAGAAATTTTCTTTATTTCAATTGTAGATCAATACAAGATATGATGAACACATTAAGAAAAAGACGTTTGTTGCTGTCACCTTGATGTACAGTACTTTCCTGACTATTTAAAGACGTTTGTTGCTGTCACCTTGATGTACAGTACTTTCCTGGCTATTTAAAGACGTTTGTTGCTGTCACCTTGATGTACAGTACTTTCCTGGCTATTTAAAGACGTTTGCTGCTGTCACCTTGATGTACAGTACTTTCCTGGCTATTTGTCAAAGAAATTTGCTGCTGTCACCTTGATGTACAGTACTGTCCTGGCTATTTAAAGACGTTTGTTGCTGTCACCTTGATGTACAGTACTTTCCTGGCTATTTAAAGACGTTTGCTGCTGTCACCTTGATGTAC